GGGGGGGGGGGGGGGGGGGGGGGGGGGTGCCTTTGGCAAACCCATGTCGGGGCTTACACATGGTAAAGGGGCTAGCTACGCGCCTGCATGTTTATATGTTCGGAACATAGACAAAATGTCCAGTCATTTACCTGTAATAATTATGTAATGTGATAATGAGCAATCTAGACTGTGATAATTGATGACCTATTTGATCTGTGATAGTTTGTTGTATTTTGTCATTTTTTATATGCATTAATATACATTAAGTAAATATATTGTACTTTTTATTTAATTGTTGACACATTGTGATGAACACGTCATTGTAAGTGCAGTGACATCCTGCTCATCTCTATGTATTTTTGTAGAAACGGCAACATTTTACCATACTTGCAATTTTTTTTTCGAATTCTGCACTCAATTTCCAATTTCACTTCAAGCAATTATCAATGTGTGAAGATTTTCAATACACATTCCATATCCAATCTAATTATCGTCCTGGTTGCTTAGCAATTTTGGAAGACTATAATGGTTGCATAGCCTTTCCTAACTATCCGAATATAGTCATTAAGGACATTGTCGAATTGTCAGTATAATTATATGGTGAAAGGGCGGGACTCTTGAACCAGAAAAGGGTAGATTTCATAAGAACTAGTTTTGAGTTGGTGGTTGTTTTTTTTGCTCGGACAATTTGGATACTATTTTTTTTTTTATAATTATAAATTGCAATATTCACCCAAATATAAATTTGTACAGTACTTAGGAAGTTGAGACTTTTGGAGAAATTTCAATAGCGTTTAATCCAAGGTATATATTTTGAAGTGTCCCTCCTTGGATTAGCAATAGGATTACAGATAACTGACTTATCCTAATGTTTAGACCATTAACAGGGAATTTCCCCTACAGCGAGTTCAGATACAGTGACTAGGAAGCCCCTCCCCCGTATCTTTATCGTGTAACGTACATTCTATAGCACATTTTTGTTGTTTTGTTTACGTTTTGTTTTACTTCTGGTTGATCACCGAAAGGTATTTGTATACACGGTTATTTCTGATTAGAAAATGCAATTTTTCAAAACTTGCAATATTTTGAAATAAAATTAATTCAATATTTGATCTTGGTTTTTGTCTTGATTAGAAATTTTAATCTCAGTTTCTTTGGTTGTTGAAAATCTGACGTGAACTTTTGACCTTTATAAACACCTGTCAAAATTTGATGTTCGTCCGTTTGCACTTTGGTTTCCAGATGATAACTTGCTTTGATATCATTTGATTTCGATGATATTTCGTAAGCATTTACAATATACACAGGCAAAGGCTTGGTTTGAAGTTGAGAAAAATACACGCATACCTACCATACTGTGCTCTGAGTTATTGACAACTTCTATACAATCAATTAATTATATACACATTTATTTTATGCTATACAAATATTTAGTTTGAATTTTCATCAGTAATTTAGGAAGAGTTTCGTTAATTTTCTATTGGTCATGATGAATTGTCCGAATGGGTTTAAGGGAGGCAATCCCTATACAGTTAGGCGGTATTTTAAGGAACATGTCTCCTTCCATTGATAAAGTCTCCTTCTGTTGACCAGTGATGTAAACTTAAGTATGTTTGCCCCTTTCACCAAATCCAAGAAATAGTTCCGCTTCACTGAGGTGACGTGGTACAGCTTTTCGATAATTTCTTACATTTTGTAAAAGGAATACGCCGTGGCATTCGCCACACGTAGTGCGGTACTCTTGTTAACTATATGCTTGCATTTATCAGAGTTAAAAATGTAATCTTGAAGCCATTCTGGTCGTAGGTCTTTCCGTTTTTCTATAATTTTGTTTGTCTCCGTAACTCCACAGTTTCTACCCTTATATTTAAACTTCATGGGGTTAGTACTTGGTTAAACTGAGGACACCTATACTTGTGGCTTCCGTTAAAGGTCAAGGTCATTGGTGTTAGAATCCTCCTGTCTGATTGGCCGATGGATTATACTGCTCAGTGACACAAAATGTTTTGGGAAAGTTGTTTAAAAGTTTGAAATCCGTTTGACACCTTTGACCCTGAAAGTGGTTCAATATGGGTTATATAACCATCATTGATAGCCCTTTACCCAAACAGTTTTGATGACTAATATATCCTCATTCTTTTCTTTTAGTGACTTTGACCTAGAATGGTACTTGTTTAATCTATATATTACACATTTACATATCACAGTGAATTACCATGTGACATTTCTTGTTACTGACGATTGATTTAATTAGGTCCTCTACTCGACCTCTCGTACATGATTGGCTGGACAGACGACAATGCAACGGAATTTTCAAGCATACCGAAAGTGTAGCTTAGATTTTATTTTTTAACAAGGTAAAGCAGAAGAAAACGAAGAGACACTCAATACTTGTCTATACAATTTTAATACCAAGTGTTCATGTTTATAATACAGATCATCAGTCACTGTCAATATTACCCAGGGATACGTTGTTCAAAGGCTGATTCGCTTAACCCTTTCACCACTTTAGACCATAATGGACTCATCCATATCAATGCATGGTAGAGTCTACTAAAGTTACCCAAGGGTGAAAGGGTTAACCAGTCAATACATATTTTCAAAATACAACTAGAACACTGACAGGTCAGTAAGGGCCCTGTCTTGTGGCAATACATCCCCCATAATCATCAAGAAGCAATCTGCCCATATAGCTGAGCTTGACGTTTGATATGTGGACTTCAAAAAGAATCGCAAGGAAGCAAAATATACATTTTACATGTACTATGATGTGAGTATTGTTTCCTTCCACCTCCATATTTGCTGGGCTAACAGAAATGTAAATACCGGTGCAATACTCATTTGTTAGCTTTGATTTGTTTTATTTAACCTTATATACCTCCATCAAGAGCCAGGGTCAAAGTCAGAGATCCACTTTGTCTTTGACCTTTGGACCCAAATGACCTTGACCATTAACCAGTGACCCTAATACAAAACTTGACCTTGACCCTTTGAAACCCGTAACCTGGACCTAAGGTCAGTTGACTCTGTGTTAAGTTCTGAACAACATTGCTTCATAATGTCATAACAAAATGTTCATCAGTTAAAAGATGTAAAATTTGACCTTGACCTTTGACCCAATGACCTTGACCTTTGGTCACTTGACCACTTGTTTAATTCTGATCAACTTTGCTTCATAATGTCATAACAGAATGTTCATCAGTGAAAAGATGTAAAATTTGACCTTGACCTTTGACCCAATGACCTTGACCTTTGGTCACTTGACCACTTGTTTAATTCTGATCAACTTTGCTTCATAATGTCATAACAGAATGTTCATCAGTGAAAAGATGTAAAATTTGACCTTGACCTTTGACCCAATGACCTTGACCACTTGTTTAATTCTGATCAACTTTGCTTCATAATGTCATAACAGAATGTTCATCAGTGAAAAGATGTAAAATTTGACCTTGACCTTTGACCTTTGAACCTAATGACCTTGACCTTTGACCTTGACTTTTTACCACAATGTGTATTTTTGTGAACTTAACATCTTGACCAAGTTTCATGTATATCGGTCAATAAATACCAAAGTTATCAGCCAGGAACAAAATTTGTGGACGGACAGACAGTGATTACTATAGTGAACTCCTATCCATATACTTGTGGTTCTGAGTTTCAACAATGTTTTAAATACATGAGATGAAACATTCGTGTTAAAAACTATCAAGCTAACCATCCTTTGAACAGCCAGACCTAGGTAAGTGGGCTAAAAATACCTCCCCAAAGTGAAGTTTAGACAGACCTAGGTAGGTGGGCTAAAAATACCTCCCCAAAGTAAAGTTTAGACTGACCTAGGGATTACCAATGTTCCCGAAACATTCTGTCATCAGGTTTACATTGTAACAATTCAGTTTTATTACTGTCTATTAAGTTAATTAGTAAAATGTACGTCTTCCATGATTTTATACTACTCGATAAGAATCCATTCCACTTTTCAAATCTCTGTGACTTTAGGTACAGCAGAACATTGTGAAATGGTTATTTGGGACCTTAAGTGAAACACACGATATTCAGAACAATGGATGCTAAGTAAATACCACATTTATACATTGTAGAATATATATTGTAACTTCGAACAATGAATACTTGGATTCTGCAATACAATTGTATATAAAAGTTAGTCAACCATTATTCAACCATACTGAACAAATGTGATTGTCAACTAGGGAAAACAAAGCGGCAATAATTTTGATGAATCTTATTTTCTAACCATACACTTTTCAATACATTGATATTGATCAATTTGCTGAACATCTTTCCCTTCAAAGGAAGGCAGATAACTCTGGCAATTGAATTAAAACTACAGAACATCTTGCGAAATTGAAACCTCGAAAATATGGCCTGGATATTGATTACCTGCTGATCTTTTTAAGTCGATTTTTGGTGTCATGGTATTTTATTTCCATGTTCTACGGGATATCCAGATTCCCCATTGATTGCAGAATTTGTTCATTTAGTTCCAACAACTTCAACATCTTTTAAATGATTGTAGTTACATGCATAACACTAAAAAATAACTAACTGAAGAATTTATTACATTGACTCTTGGCAAACACAAATATAGCATCATTCTCATAACAGTTATCAACCATTCCTAATAAATATATATACATGTACAATGATTTTATTTCATCAAATATTTTTTGAATTTCTCATATAATGTGGGAAGGAAACTAATAAATATTGTGAGATTTTCTTTCTTATTTCAAGTGAATGTTTCCATATAATTATATTAAAAATTTAAAATTTGAAACTTGTCCTTGAATGACAATAAATTCTGTAAACAATAAACAGTACCTACATGGAAATATTTAATATTTTATCCTAACAACTTTTTTCATTGTCAGATTTATTTTTATACCATGGTCATGTTTAAAATTCCACTTGATATTCATTAGATTTTTAATAGCATAAGATTATCCAATAACTCGAAATTTCCAGTTGAAACCCTGCGACATAAATTAACGCGAGGCTCAATGGGCCTGCATGGCTCACCTGGTAATAATCTCACACTTGTAACCTTAATAACTTAAAAGTGGATTAAAATAAAGATACGGGCAAAATACCATTATCTTTGACAAGTCACTATAAGACATTCAAAAGAACCTGTTAAAAGATTTAAACTCATTTGACCCCTGTGATCTTGAAAGTCAAACAAGGTCATTTAGTTGAACAAAATTTGATAGCCCTTTATCTCAGCATGTGTCTTGACCTTCTGTTTATTGAGATTTTGACCATGTGTGATCTTCTAAGTAGATCAAAGTTACTCACATAATCAAACCTCAGGCCAGGTGAGCTAAAAATAAAAATCCACAGGTACACCCTAGTAGTACAAAAGACACAAAGCCATGCTAATGCTCGGCTACACAAGAATATTTATATTATGGCACAAATCTATTCAATATCCACTAACTGCCGGTTTCTCTCGATTCATACCACCTGTTTCATCATCCTCTGACTTAGAACATATACTCAAACAAGCTCAATCCATTGTTCAAGTGAGAGAGATAATTTCAGAATTTGAAGGTCTAATTTTGACCCAGTTGTTTGATTTACAAAAAGTTGAAACGAGCATACAACTTGAGCTTAGAGTAGTTTTGCTAACACAGACCAGGCGTTAGAATCACTAGGAATGGCCTGAAGGTAGAATGTCCACCACTTTCCTACAGTAAACAGGCCTTATTTTCCTGTTAGATTTCTTATTTCCACTACATTCACATAAAGACAGGTTAACAATTTTGAAATCATCCCTGTAAATAACAAACATTTAGCAGGAAAATAACTTTTTAATATCTGTGTACTGAGAAACAAGCCATTGGGATTGATGTGTCTCTCCCATGCCCCGCTTCAACCATCAATGCACATATCAGAGAAACTAACTTAAAAGCAAAAACTTAATGTCGATGGAGATGCTGACAAAGTCAATGGACCATGAAAGGTAGACTGCATCAAGCATTTGATGCATGTGATGAGATTTACTACCTAATATGCATCTTTGGTCCAAGTTTGGTTGGTCTAGCTCTTATACTTTCAGAGAAACTAAGTTAAATGCAAAAACTTAATGTTGATGCCGTCGTCGTCAGAAAAGCAACACCTTAGTCTCGCTTACGCTACTTCGTAGTGGCAAGACAAAAATGGTGAGACTCGTTACCTTAATCAGATTTGTGATTCATTGTTTGGTTAATTTCAAATCACTCTTTTATTTTTTTATCCGAGACAGACAACAACACAAATTCTCCAATGCTAAAGAATATCATTATGCTAAATTTATGATTTATTATTCTAATGTGTATTGATTGTTGCCATTGTTTAAGTTATTTTGATTCTCTCACAATTAATTAATAAACTAATTGTAACAATACTTGTATAAAGTTTATATTGATCTACATCTTGTTCCCATTACACCATCACAAGTTTTAATTTACTCAACAAACTTGAAAATATCAAAGGACTAGGAAATCGAATAAATCCAAAACAAGGATGTCATATCACTTTCCTGGTCACAAGAACACAGAAAAGTTTTAACTAAAACTAACAAAATAAAACAGATCTTTACATAATAAAGACATCTTCTATAATACCCCATCCCTTGTACTGTAAGCATCCCCTATCTATTTTTCTGATCTGAACGTCCATCCCTTCACCATAATTTGCCGACTTGTAAAAAGTGTATATTATAGCTACTTTTTATATAACTTTAAAAGTTTCTGCAAACATTCTAATTTTCTCAAATTGCTAAGTGAGCAGGTCCTTTATTAGTTTAAATATAGCACATATGTATGTTTATAATAAACAAGATGGCCCACACTGAACCTTCAATTTTGTCGTGACATGTGCCTTGGATGTAGAGAACATAACTGAGTGTGACCACTGGAACTTCTCCAAGATGCATGATCACCTTTATTCACAGCACAAGCTCAGAATTTCAAATAAACATACGCCAATGTGATACTTCCACTTTGTCCTCTTTATGTACAGTAAAACCTTGTTAACCTGAATTCTTGTATATTTAATATATATTCAGTTTTTGGTCGTTGAACTCAACTGTCACCTTGCTTATCTGAACCTAGACTGGCTACCAGCCCCTAAGATTTTATGACGAATTTCTCAGCTGCATTTTACTACTAGTTTATCTCCCCCTAGTTTAGAACTCTAAAATCAGACATCCAAGTGATAAGAACTTTTTGAGTTAAACTTTTTTCTTAATAATTCAATATTCTAGAGACGGTGGCCAGTCTAATCTTGACACTGTATAACGGCTGCATATGTTTTAAAGTTGTTTACTTGATTATTCCAAAAACTCATCTATTCTAGACTAATATTTCGGTGTCTGTGGTATTCTGTTTAGACAGGCTTTGCTTTACTGATCTCTAAGTTTTGGGTAAAGACTTATTTCACTTTAATATTTTTAATAGGTGATCATTACTGTCAATTTCATGAAAAGAAAAATCATTTCAATTCCTTTTTGCATTTTTAATTTTTCATCTTTATTCATTATCTGACTAATAAGATCTTTGGTCACACTGTTAAATGAAAATTTCATAAAGACATTGACAGAAAAATACAACTGTTGAAGAAAAATATAAATGCAGTTTACAATGAAAACAGAAAATACCAATTAATAATAAATTCATGATATGCAATTTGTAATTAGCAAATTATGTTAGTATCTGTGAAACACTTCTAACATAATGCTGGTCCCAGACAGAAATCAATAACAATCATGACTAAGATTTTATTATAATGGTTGATGCATTTTTTATTGATAAAAATTATTTGCACCTGGTACAGATCTTTGATTTAATGGATACAGAGTTGACAAGTGTTGTAAGAGTCTGGATTCTCTATAAGGACCAATTCTCAAAAATATCATCTGTCCTGATGTTATTGATTAAAATGTTCATGTAAAATGCCAAATATGACATCATATTTCAGTTTTTGTTATTGAGAACTGTTAAAATAAATATATCGCATTAACAGAATAACAAAAAAACAAACACATTTTGACTAGGTCTTTTTTTCCTGGGTAATGGCCTCTCCAGGCATGTAATGGGACTATAGTGAGTCAATCACTAAATTGAAATATCTAAATATAACAGAGGTCCTTATTTTTTCAATGCCTGCACTAGGAGTGGAACCCGGGACCTCTGGCCTTACTAGTCTTACGCTCTACGGTATGAGCTAAAGAGAAATTCTCTCTAGCGGAGACGATAGGAAGCGGCTAGTATTTTACCAGGGTGATATAAACTCTATACATAAACATATACTTGATCTCAATGGAACGAAATAGTTAAAAATGAACACTATAACAGGAGACATACCATGACAATTTTATAACTCTCGCACAAGTATAGTCACACATAATATCAACAATAACTTAAAGCACGGTACATATATATAATATCATATTACCTCGTTAAATCATACAAGCATTCCTAACACCCATAACCTCGCCCTGTTTTCAAGAAACAGGTCTCATGCTCAAACTCAGATTCTGTGATGAAGCCCTATTCCTTGTCCCATTGATAAAGTTCTCAATTTTCCTTTTTGTGTTTTCGATTTCCTGTGCTAGGAGGAACTAAGCTGAGATTTGATAACAGATACTGTTTCAGTGTCTAGACTTTTCTTTTGACCATGACTTTAGCGAATTGCAAGAAAGTTGGTCCAAGCACAAAACGCATGTTTGACCATTGAACTGGACTCGAAGAATACAGGCCTTCATGAATCAGCTCTCATGCTCAAACTTGAACCCTGTGCGCAAGTTCCATTCCATTTAAATTTTTGCTAGTTACGAGAAAAGAATTGCAGCATGAAATCTGTTTTATTTATACAGACTCTTCTGTGCAATGTTAACATTTACAAATTGTTCATAATCAGTTGTGAAAATTGCCAAATATCCAAAATGACTTTTTCCACAGTCTGCTGTATAAAGATAATGGGCAACTGTGTGAACTGCTTTCAAGTTTGACCCTTTAAACCCTATGTAACTTTAATCAACTCTACCATGTATTGATCTGGATAAGTCCATTATAGTCTACAGTGGTGAAAGGTAGCTTAGCTAGTCATTAATGCAAGTTTTCAAAATTCATTTTTTTTTTATAAATATTGAAAAAAATGTTCTGGTACAACACCACTGCTTGTCAAGTGATTTTAATTTTGTTTAAACCTTTTATAGAAATACATTTTTTTTATAGAAATATTTTATAACACAGTCAGTATCAGTGGAAAAAACCCACAACTGAAATGTTAGCTTCACATAATACTTACAAGACAACAGAACAATAGACTAAAAGATAACAATTTGACATAGGCAATACATCTTTATCAAATGGGACTACAATACAAAATAATGCCAGTAACTATAAAAAACAATGTAAGATAATTCTGATTAACTTAAAGAACTCCTCTCCGCCATAGAGCTGTTCGCTATCCCAGAAAGAAATATATAATTTAAATTGGGAGGTGGGGAGGCGGGGTCAGAGAAGCTGTGACCTCCACTACCATTTTTCCTTAGGCCTGTTATATAAATGTTAATTAAATAACACACCAATCATTTCCTACCGATTATTGGTGCTTCCCGCAACACATCCCCCACCCCACCCCCCACCCCATCAACCACTCCCCCACATCCTGATTAATTTGTGGAATAGACGTAATCAGTAATTACCTAATTACATTCCCCATCATACATATAGCCAGTTGTAGCTTTTCGATAAAACAAACATTTGACTTAAAACAAGAAAATTCCAAACGTTGTGTTTCCGTCTTTCTTAAAATGCCTCAAGTTTTAACAAAACTCTTTATTGCTATTTCTGAGTGGAAAATCGCCTTGTTGAACCAGATCACTGACGTCATATAATAACATTCAAGTGCTTTGAAAACTAAGATTTAACTTGAAAAATTTGTATTCCTGTGTCGGGCACACTTGTGCATTTATACAACGTATGCTACCAAGAATACATGGTGCAGCACACACTGACAATCTCGACAGTGCCCAATCCAGAGTGGTGGTTCAGACGATGACAATGTATAGCAAACGTATATTCTACAAGCTGGAACTCTGCACACCAGCTGAATTATGTGGTCCCAAGGGTGTCCATTTTCGACAGAATGTACTGTAATTGTTTTAGTGTGATTAAGACAAGAGTATCAAAACGAAATAATAAAATGAAAATGATTGAATTTTTGAAGTTCAGTGTAGTATTTCAGAAAATTGATTTTGTTGCTCCCTTCCCCGGTACGACTTACAATGATTCAGATCTTTTAGCATTAGAGAGTCTTGTACTTGGTTATCACAGCGCAAGCAAGGCCAACATGGTCATATGCAAGATATATTCCCATACCAGAATCGTACGAAGACTTTCAAAGCAACTTGAGACTGCCCGTCACGTTGTCAACGACATCGATCTTTCCCATGATGCCCAGTACTGTAACAGATCCTGCAGCAATCTAGAAAGAAACAAAAAAAAAGGTCTCAATCTAAATATCAATGTACATGTATATCATTTACTACATAGCTGGTAAATCATTTTATAGAGAAATATTTTGCAGAAATTCTCACATGCATATCAAGAACACTTGTAGGTGCGTAATCAAAGAAATATCACAGGTATCTTAACTCATTCACCCCTGAAGACACATTTGAACTCTTCCAAATCAAAGGTTGGAATAGTTCATTATGAAATTTCAGGGGTGAATGAGTTAAAGATTGAACTTTATTTATTTTACAACATTTATGAAAAAAAGTCATTTCAACCTATATTGATCACTCTTGTCGGCCCTGATGGTAATGTGGGAGGAAACCAGAGTACCCGTAGAAAACCCATGTGGTCGGGCAGGTGACCCCCTCTTTTCACATCCAATTGAGGAATCAATCCTCGTTGAAAGACAAGTGCATTATCCACAAAGCCACCCGACCACCCCAGGTATCCTTATTATACAGTATGAAGTTTCCATTTAGTAAAACATAAACTTTAAAGATAATAAAGTTTTAAGGGATTAATAAATTTTAAACAAGAGCTGTAGAACAGCATAGCTCGTCCATTAATTTTTTTGTAAAAAGTGCTAATAGTAATAGGGCCATTACAGGATGTCCCATCTTAGATAATAGATCAGGAAACTAGATGGCCCTGCTATCCCCCCAAAGTAACCCCTAACACAGCCCCACACCCAGCCCCTGATTACCATATGCAAAAATAAATTACTGTAAAATGTAGGACTCATGTTTATGTTTTATTTCATATGCTAAAAGACTATATCAAAAAACAATTGACCCTCATGACTCCACCCCTCTTGCCCTGTCCCTAGAGGTCATATCAAAATTCTGAAAGTTTGGTGCACTTCCCCATACATATATCTACCATGTCTAAAAGTTTCAAGTTCCTACTTCAAACAGTGTAGAAAAAGTTATTTTACCCCTTATCCCTCAAGTCCCCCCC